CAACAACTGGATTGTTGTTGTCTAATGCAGGATGTCTTTTGTTTCTACATGCTGAAGGCTTTGTTATTGCACAGTGGAGGTACTCACTGGAACTAGTCATCTTGTGTATGTGAAGAGGACTTTATGTGGATTTAAGGTCTATTTATTTGTTTGTGTGCAGCATTCTTTTCTCCAGAAAGCAGATCATCATCAGTTCATTCAAGGTCTACAGCTTTTTGAAAGCCTTGCCTGTAGCTATTGTGGGTGATTTCTACGTTTGGAAGAATTCAACCCAGCTGAATGAAATAGAGTACTGAGATAGGAAAACTGCTGGTCAAATACACGTCCTACATGTGTAGGATGCAGATGCTCAGAGTGCACTGCATTTAATTATACATGGGTTTTTTTCATACGTTGGTCTGTTGACATGATTGTAAGACTATTTTAATCCAGCTGAATTCTGTGATTTTTATCAAGTTTATATGATGAGGTTTTCATTATGGTCCCAAAAGGCGTTTCTTTTCCACATAAGGGAAGACTTATTTGCACTGAAAATATGCAAAACTGTGAAGTGATGGTAGTAAGAGGAGGAGGACAGTTTGGAAGAAGATTTATACTATAGTAAATTGAGCGATAGGCGTTGTCTTACACTGTGTTAGTAGTAGGGTCAACAATAGAAATAGTAATGTAACATCAGGTAGTTATTTTGCAGCGAATATCTTCGTAATTATGTGGAAAGCTAAGAAACTAGAGAGAGGGATGCTTATTACAATTATAACATAAAACATGCTAAACAGAACTGTTCCTAGAGAGTGATGAGGCATGACTGAAGTTTTCTTATACGTGAGTTTAAATACTACCTGGAGAAATCAAAATGTGCTTAGGCTTCTAATTGCTTGCTTGGATGGAGCTGTGTGAAGGTTGTGTTTGTAAATCTTTTCTATGCAAATGTTGTCTGCCTCCTTGACTGCAAGCATTTTTACAACAATTATTTACAGGTTTGTCTTATTACTTTCCTCTCATAAAACAGACTATTTTAAATAATAATCTGTGTCAGAAATGATAATTAAAAATTATCCTTATCTTCTGTTGCAGTACACGTCTGTTGTTAGGACTTTGATAATAGTTATGAACACTTTATAAATTCAGCCTCTTATTTTGCCAACCTATAAAAATGGATTGAAAAGGAAAATAAATGTAACAATACCTTCAAAACACAGCAAATGGAGTATTAAAATATGTATTGTTAAACAAATTGCTTTCTAGGTGTTTTTGAAGAAAGATGTTCTTTACCCTGGTAATATTTTTCTAATCGTTTTGTTCATTCAACAGGTTTTTAGTGACATGTTGCCAATGGAACTGATGCTTTCAAATAATTGGCATGTTATGTCAAGAAATGCATGTGTTCTTTTACATTACTTGTGGCATGTTCTGTCTTTGTTAATCCTTTTAAACTACTCAGTGTTGTGCAAACTCAAACTACTACACTAGAAATGAAGACGCAATAAACGGGTTATAGTCTAAATTCTGTTCTGATTTGCTGCAGCCCTTTGGAGCTGGGCATCACTAGGGTTCGGTGGGGCATAAGTCACGACAGAGGTTAGTCTCGGAGTAAGCTGGAGTTACCCAATGTAAGTTAGACTGTTTCATACGGGAGAAAAAAAAGAAAACATTTTGCATAAGATTTCTCCAATTTAAAGACGACTGACAAGATGATGAATGGTCTCCATTTATGATCAGCACTGTTACATAAGCTTTTGACTTCTTCTTGTTGTCTTTATGTATGGTATTAAGAGGAGTTTAGCCCTAAAGCCGTGTCAGTGCATGACTCTCAGGTCTGGCAACTCACGTTAGTGGATACTGATCTGTTGCTTAAGGAGTTCTTGACCAAAAGTCGTCTTCCCAGTTCTCAAACACTACATTTTCCAGTGCGAATTGTTTTGTGCCAGTTTGATTAATGGTCTTTCATTGGTCTGACCGTGAACTGAAGTAGAACAAAACTTGCTGCAACCACAGGCAAACCCACATTGGTACCTGAATGGGAGAAGGTACTGATTTGACTCCCGAGTGTGTTTTGGGTTAGGGCTTTGCCAGCAGTGCTCCAGTTCCAAGTGAGTTTGCTTTGATGCTGTGGCAGTATAGATTAACTTCTGCGTGTATAGGTTTAAACATTGTGTTGAAATGGTGAAAGCTGTTGCTCTTAGGCTGTGGTGGTAAAATTGAAGCGCTTTTATGGTATGAAATGGGAAAAAAAATGCGAAAACACAACCAAACAGACAAGGAAAACCAGAAAGGCATTGTGAACTCTTTGATTCCTCTCTGGTTTATGTACTTCAAAAACAAATTTTAAAAACTGCCCAAACATAATTTGGTAATGTGAGCTCATTGACAGAGGTAGTTGCTGGTTTTCATTAACAATACCAGGAGGGTAGCAGTGATTTCATGTAAGTATATACATAGCTTGTGGCATCAAAACAGTGGCATGTAAATGCCTGTTTGAGTACTGACATAACTGTGTACAGCAATTTGCAAACAGACCTGTCCTGTTTGGTAAATTATCTTCAGGCAGAGAGGTTGAATGCTTGCCTTCCCCCCACCCCTTTAAGCATGCTATTGTGAAATACTCCTTTGCATTTCATAGAAGATTGCTTGTTGTTGGATATTTCTGTGCTATTGTTGATACAGGTTAGTTCTGATTATTATTAAATTACCTATTGCAATATGAAACCTGTGTTTATAATGGCATGCTAATTTTACTGGGTTTTAGGAGCCTGTTTTGTTCACTGGAACTATGAGGAAAAACTTGGATCCTTTCAATGAACACACCGATGAAGAGCTGTGGAATGCCTTAGAAGAGGTGACTTATTAAATCTAATAAAGTACATCTGATATTTGCAAGCCAAATAACACTACAGTGCTTGTGTGCGCTGGGCTTTAGGTGTTTTCATCAGGTTTGATAAGGACATAGCTGTTGATGGAAAAAGGTAGACCATTGTGTGCACGTTTGTGTGTGTGTGTGTGCATGTGTGTGTAGACACGTATATTGTTATATAAGTCTTTTATGAAAAAATTATCCTGTGGGATGATGCCTTGGTTACATTTTGATTCATATCTTAGTTTTAATGAACATTAATAGATTCTTAACAATGTGCTTTAATGTTTTTAGAATTCTAATAACTGACACACTCTGTAATCCAACTTGGCACTTACTCATTTTGTGTCAGGATATAAAAGGTAAACCTTGCATACTTATTGTTGTGTCATCAGACACACAATAGCTGATTTAAGAGAGAGTTACTCATCCTACAATATGTTGACATGTCAACAGGTGCAACTGAAGGAGGTTGTGGAAGATCTACCTAATAAAATGGAGACACAGCTGGCAGAATCTGGATCTAATTTTAGTGTTGGTCAGAGACAGCTGGTGTGTCTTGCCAGAGCGGTTTTTTTTTTCAGAGCGGGTCTAAAAAAAAACCGGATCCTTATCATCGATGAAGCAACAGCAAATGTGGACCCAAGGTAAAAGCAAAATCTGTCATGTTACAGTAAGCCGTTTTTTCTTCTAATATGATCATCTGCACAGTAGAGCTGCACTGAAATGCTTTGTATTTCTTGTAGTTTGTATTGCTATTTTATGGTTTTAATGATAGCATCATAATTGTCTATTCAAAATGGGGCGGTTGAGCTTTGGCTGCAGAGTAGATGATATAAAATAAGCGCTCGAAATATCCCTAATTTCAGTGCGTTCCGTAGAGTAGGGAAGTTAATATTCAAAGTTTAGTTGTCCTGCAGCCATAGACAAGAAGACAAGAACCTCCTTGGAAAGGCACATCAGTAACATCAGAATAGCCATGAAACAATTTGAGTTCTCTTGATTTCTGGAAGAAATGTCTCTTGGAAATAATTAATTAATTAATTAATTAATTAATCTGCTTGCCAAAAAACCCGGAAAAATAGAAAGATGAAAAATGGCAAAAAGCAAAACCAGATACTTCTCTTTATGAGGTCCTCTCCCTTCAGATGGCTCAAATGCCAGTGTAGTACATTACAGATAAAATAGGGGTGATGGGGAAGGTAAGCGTCCTAAACATCACAGGAATTGCAAAACAGATTTGGGGATGTTTAAAGCTGCAGGAGGGACTCATTTATCGTTCATTATTTTGTCTTGTATAACTCAGGCCATCAGCACTTCCCTGAGTTCATTCCTGTTTGAACTAGAGTGTACTTCTAGAAGAACATCCAACCTCAATAGAAAAAAAAAAAAATCAATCACAACCCTTGTTAAATTGTTCCAATAGCTAAGTACCCCCACTGTTAATTTTTGAAACATTTGAAACACTGGTGGAAATATTTTGGAAACAATACTGCAAATGTACTGCATCAATTAGTATGAGCTGAATATATAGTTCCAACAAACCGTGGCTTGAGGGAGAACTCGAAGTCCAAAGAGGACAATAACACAGCAAGTCTCTCAAACAGCTGCATTAAGGATTTTGTATGTCATCTGGGCGTGACTCATTTTTATAACAACTTCTTGGGGGAGAAGTGGTGCCACTAGGGTAGCTTTGCAGTTCAGCTGACAGTGTATTTCTAAAACCTTTAGAGAAATGCATTCCTTTCCCAGAGCTTCTCCTTTTTTCTTTTTTTTTTCCTTTTATAATTTTTTTTTTTTTTTTACTATTAGTTTATTTTTGGCTGATATTTGATAGATTAACTGTGATTAATCACAGCTAATCATAGCTGTGGAAATTTAATACCATCTTACTCATCCTCCCTATTTTGGCATCTCGTGTGTGTGTTCTCAACTTGCACTATCCATTTAATTGATCTTGATTAATGTGTGCTGCAATATATATTATAATAAGGTAAATGTTTGTTTGTATCAACTCTAGGCATAACAATAAAAATAATAACTTGGAACTTCTTCTGTGAATTCAGTTTGCATTACAGTGACTATTACCTTTTCCTTAATGTGTTGCTATAACTGGAGCTGAGTATTTCTCAGCTGCGCAATCTGATAGGACGCTCACAGGAAATGCTGGTGTGGGTTGCTTAACTGAGCGGTCAGGGAGGCATTTTTGGCATGTAACGAAAACCTCCTCCTCTTCTGATGCAAAACCCCCATACCTGGCACCCTTGTCAAGCACACATCATATCAAGCACCTCGGATAGGAATCCATGGGGAGCTGCTGCCGGCTCTGGACATATTATTTCTTTTATTTTTCGTTTTTCTGGCTCTTGATCTCTTCGTGCCAACCGCTGCTGCAACCATGTTCCTTCTCCAGTTCAACCTGGAAGCAAATGTGAGAAGGCAGGGTTTGGGGGTGGGTGGGAAGGTGAGGTGGCATGAGGCAGTGGCTGCAGCAGGAGGGTGAGAGGTGTGCAGTGTGCCTTCCCAGGGCTGAGGGACTCCCCACTGTGTTTCTCCAGCTCAGCTGGGCCATTCTCTGCTGGTGAGTGCAGCTCAGCAAAGCAGTGAAGGGAAGGAGTTTGGAGTGCACCTTTCTCCCTCCTTCCTACATCTTCCAGCTCCCATATGTACCCTTATTATTCCCCTTGCTCCTCATAGCTGCCAACTGCTCTGCGTGCTGCAGGGGGGTCAGCGCTGTCGTGACACAGAGAAGCTTGCCATAAAGAAGGTTGCCCTAAGTCTGACTACTTGCATGTTTTACATGATGACTGACAAATGTTGGATTTGATCTTACCTTTTTGGTCCTGAAGCTGGCATTCTTACCCCAAAGAGTGGAATCGTTTTATAGCAGTCGAACCATTCTGGAAAGTTGGGTGAAATCTGGAGCAGGAGAGCTGAAAATCGTTCTGTAGTTGCTTTGGTGATACAATGAAACAAAATCTTTACGAAGTGAGACTTTTTCTAAATACTGAGCAAGCTGAGCTTACTAAGCGATTTGCGCACAGACTGCAGTATTATGCATTAACTTGTGTTTTTACTGCTTATAGAGGAGAAAACTTTTTGGGACCAGTCCACTGCCACGTTTTTGCATTGGTCATGCACCGAGTCTGGTAAAAACAGCCACTGCTCGTAGTTCAGTTCATTAGCCATCTTAACCTTGTAAGGTTTAACCTTTCCTGACATCTGACTGCTGTCTGTAACTGTTTCTCTTTTGAAGAAATGATCCAAAGCCATTCAGGTATTGTATAGTGTGACATACGCTTCCAGGACAATCCCAGGAAGACAGTAGACTGAAGATAATGACTTAACCAGTGTTCCTTTCAGCAGCTTTGTTGATTCTCATTCAGCTCATATTTATTCTTACTCTTTAGATAGCTTTCTTTCTACACAGTCAACTGATTCAGGTTACACCAGATCTTGGGTTGCTTTGAAACTTGATGTTAGATCCTCAACCTGCAGTGCCAGTGTGACACCCATACCACCATTTTGTGCTTTCTTATTGTACTGTTCCTTGTGATGGGGAGTGTCGTGGTTCCCATTTTCATATAATCAGATTGGGGTTGAGGTTGTGTCATCCAGCAGCCCTAGTTCAGTGTTCGGGTTGCATCTTTGGTTTCTGCTGTGCCTGAAAGAGGATGGGGTTTGATCCACGGAGGTGGGTGATGGAATCACTTGGCACTTGCCTGGCCGCTTGCTCAGTATGGGTAGACACCTCAAAGGATCCGTTCATGCTCTGAAAAAAGTGCTTCCTTTGACACTTTTCTAGAGGGTAGACGGCTCTAATTGGCATGTGATATGGTTTCTGCAGTCTGTCAGCATGTAATTCTGTAGAGAGATACTTTTCATAGTCTTTTAGATTTTCTTGCCTTTCCTACCTTCTTCCCAACATTCTCCTGGAGTTACTGATGGTACTTCTGCCTGCCACTCCCACAACTATACTCCAAGATCTACCATGAACCTTAGAGAGGATCAGGTTGAGACCCTATCAGTGGGCGTGTCTGCATGAGATTTCATACTGTGATGTTCAAAGATGGAGCTATTAGGTCTGTTTCTGATTACTTTGTAGTCTCATTTTATAACATCTGTCACACCCACAATATGGCCAGCGTTTTTTTAGTAGGGATAAGCTCATATTAAAGAAATACCTGTTTAAGATAAAAGTTAGATAGTATCTATCTAATAATGAGAAGTGGTTTCTATTGTAAATGTAAGAAGAGGTGGTGCTATAAGGAATGCACGTAATAAAGGAAGATATAATAAATGAATGCAGAGGACGGGGATGTTCAAGAATGAGGCATTCTTCTCAGATAACCAGTTTAC